CTTATGTTAAAGTTTTTCTTCATTACCCATTCAAGCCGTCTCCAAGCATTATTATACAAGTTGCATTAAGATAAAATGGTGCTGAATATTTCACATATTACACCAAACAACCCATAGGTTTAAAGATATAATTTTCACTAATTAAGCACTATTTATAACACGATAAAAGATTTTAAAAGGCTGCTAAAAAATCTTATGGTATTTTAAACAATTATTTCATGTTTTAAGAACGACATTCCTTAGGACTAACTACTAACCTTTATACAAATTTGTTATTAACCAACATTGTGTACGTGTACTTTCGACGAGACAGTGATCAAGTGTAATAGATAAATATTCTATTAATCGTTCTTTATTTACAGTCGATAAGACTTAATATTTTTGATATTTCATTATCTCCGTATTACATATTTATTTGCGAAATTTTTAAGAGTTCCAATAAAGCAGTCAACATATAAATAACCCTACCGTATTTTTCTCTTTGTTGCTGTTAGTTACCGTAAAGACTTAGTTCAATGTGTGTGTACTTTAAACTACGTTTGTGTACGTTTGAAAAAGGTTTTAGATTATAAACCATATTTGAAACTTGAGTTTTTGATGTCAGATGGAACCAGGCTAAAATATTACTCTTAGTACCGTTCCTAATGATAAAGAAGTTGAAACATGGTTGCCATACATTTGTAATAACATCTGAATAAGTCAATGTATCAGGATGTATATATAACTGGTTAATTATGCACAATAACCCTTTTCTGTTCTATGGACTCAAGTTACTGTATTGCAGGTTTTCATATTACATCCGAGGATAAAATTGCAGTTAGTGTTATAAGGGTTAAATTAGTTATCCATTGAATTATGAATTTCTTGGATCCCTCTAGTGTTGAAAAAATCAGTTATCAAACACATTCTATTTCTTATGTTTATAACTAAAATTGATAAAGATGCTAAAAAGCGTTACTATTTTCTGTGAAATATGAAAACCCATTCTCTGTCACACCTAATGGCTTGGGTTAAATTTTTGTTGTTGTTTTTCCTTAGATTTTACGCCAAATTTCAACTGATGTTGTTTTGAATCAATTAAAACGTAAGAAAGAGATTTACTATTTACTGACTATCTGCATTCAACACTTACTGTTGAACAATAAAAAATATTTTTTTTAGAAAAATATATTATCAAGGGGAATCTGGTAAAAGCTGGAACATAATTGAACTAAGATTTAATATTTTGCATGTACGATTGTTAGTGTTTGCATATGGTGAGGATGCTGGTGGCATACCTAGGAAATTAAATGAATTTCGATGTTTTTTACTCTTTATTAGTTACAATGCGTTCTTTCAAACTTAGGCCTGATCTGAACTGCAGATCAAAATTTGGTTGATCAATTGATGGGTCACGTGACCCCTGCAGCACTATAAATGACTGGGATAAGCATATTTGTAGCCAATCTAACAGATATGTCGAAAGACAAACATGTTATACATATAGAAGGCATGATAGAAGGTGCACGTCTAGTAGGTCTCACAGAAAATAGAACAGTTTCAATGGTAGGTCGCTCCAAGACAGCGGTCATTCGAGTATTCAGCAATCGAAAAAGTTTAATAAGGTGTATGCTGCGTGGTGGAATTGTGGCCGCAAAGACGGTTAATTAGGATGGAAAATTCCAACTGTCATCAAACAATACACCAACTGATAGACATTCAGTTAAGGTATAATCCACACTCATCTCTATCTAAACTTTGAGAAGAACGTTGCAATTAATGAACTGTGTCAGTAGAAAACCATAGCATAAGCTACTGGATTCAGTCACCAACAAAAACAAATCCCTTGAGTGGTGTAAAGAACGCTGTTGGAAGGGAATGAGGTCCAATGAATTACGCTTTATCCTATTTTAAATAGGCGAGAGAAAACAGATTTCGAGAGAGTTTGTTTGTTTGTACTTAAGCACAAAGCTACACAATGGGCTACTTGTGCTCTGTTAACCACAGGTATCGAAACCCGGTTTCTAGCGTTGTAAGTCCGCGGACATACCACTGTGCCACTGGGGGACTACCCTCGAATACACCTCTGCTTGTAATAGATTATACAAAACACTGGCAATACCAAACTCTGTCAAAGGTAGGTCTGTAACAAACTGGATGCGTAGAAGAATAAGAAACTATAACTAAACCTGAGACAGGTTTATGGTAGACTACTTAAACCATTGACAAACCAGACAAGACGTATTTCGGATTATTTAAACCTTGGAATAATAAAATAGGCTTTATACTTCTTTCGAACAGTTTTAACGAGATTTAGTCACGATTGTAATTTCCTGTTTAATGGAAACACTTATGATCAGACTTTTCTGATGAAATTGTCAGAGTTTCTATATTAACCTACTAGAGGTTTAATTATTCATACACTGAAAATACAAAAACTGTTTTTATTTGATTTATTATTTTAAAACATAGCTCAAATTGTCGGCCATCGTCAGATCCTACAGCTCTACAAAAACGTCTGTAGTTCCTTTAAATCTGGCACCTGAAGAAGGCTTATATTCAAGAATGTGTTTTATTTAAAACCAAATAAAACTCAAAACAGTTTTTATATTTTGAGTGTGTAGATCATTAAACCTCTCCCACATAACTTATTTTATGTTTTCACGAACAAATTTCGTTAAAAGGTTCAACACTTTTATAAGTCTCGCAAATACTTCTAGAGATCGTTAGCCTTAATTTTGAAAATGTATAAAGACTGATGTAAATTCATTTTATTCTGCTTCAGATAGTGAAGATGGAATCTGATAGAAT